ACTGAACATTGGAATGGCATTCAAATTTTAAGCCAAAGATGGAAATTGAGAGGGGAATTATATTATTTTAGTTTTTATTAGTATATACTAACTATACATAGCGGGTTTCATTATGGCATTTTTATACGTCTGATCATATTCACCCTTTATCCTCTCTTGTCCTTGTCTACTCCTATTGATTTCCTTTCTCTCCCCTTTCACTTCCATGTCTTTGTGTGTGTGTGTGTGTGTGTGTGTGTGTGTGTGTGTGTGTGTGTCACAATATACATTTTCTTAGGGTTAGGTGCATGGGTAAGGGGTTATTCTTTTTTTGGTTTTTGTGAATTTTTAATTCAATTTTTGAGTATTTCATACAAGACATCTTAATCATCTTTATACTCCCTTCCCCATTGACACCCACCCATAGGCCCACCCAACCTGGAATTCATACATTCTGTCATTTGCGTTAAGGTCTAAAGGTCTATCATGTCAAGTTATTGTCCCCAGATGTCCTTCAGTACAAGTTCATCCACTGAGGTCTAGTTAACCTATATAAAGTCCCTCCCTTTAAGAAGATAGTTTAGTCCTCACCCAGCAGTAATAAACTACCTATAATTCTTCAAGATTGGGGCCTGCTGCCCATTTCCACAGTTCTGTGCTGGAGTTTTTTGTTTGCTTGAGTTTGTATGGGTCTTGTGCATGCTGACATCATTGCTATAGATTCATATGAACAAGCTCCCAGGAGCTTGAAGGACTCTATTTCCATATGGTCCTGCACCTCCTCCCTGGCCCTTAGAATCTTTCCATCCTCTCTTCTGCAATGGTCCCTGAGCCCTGTGTGGGTGGAATTTAGTGCAGGAGTCCTGTCCAAGGACCCACACTCTGTAGACTCTTATTCTCTATGCTTTGGCCATTTGTGACCTTTTGTGTTCCTGGCCCTCTGTTGCATGAAGGAGCTTCATTGATGAGAATTTAGAGATGCGTTAGTGTTCTCTTTACCCCTTGTTCTATGTTCGTGAGCTTTAGGTGTAGAGGTTGTATTATAGATGTGCCACTTTGGCTTGGGCAATTCACAGACAATGTCTGTGTGTGACTAGTTGTGGAACTCTGTAATAATCTCCATTTGTTGCAAAAGAAGTGTCTTTGTTGAGTGATGACTGGGATAACTTTCTGGAAATATAAGGATCCATATTTTTCACATAGTAAGAAATGACATTTGTTTAGAGATGTGACAACCTTGGGGTTTTCTCTAAGATCTAAGACCTCACCAGTCATGTGTACTGCGCTATTTACAGTACCACACTTAAGTTTCCTCCTATTGAGTGGGCTTTAAGTCCAGTTAAGTAGCTGTTAATTACTCCCAAGATAAAAATGCCACTACAGCACCAATGTTTACTGTGCCGGTCATTGATTTGGTTATTAGGCCTTAAAGCTGGGGTTGGACCATTGATTGATATTCTTTCTTAGCAGCTTATGTAATGCTCTCCAAAGCTATGAGAGCTAGCCTTCAGGGGAGGTACCTTCCAGGTCAGTTCCAGCTCCATCCCTCCAAATCTGAAGTAGGTCCTGTCTTCAGCAATAGGGTCTTACCTTCAAGTTCTGGGAGGCAATAAAGGACTGTGACAATAGCTTGTGTAATTTTGGGAGTCTCTTGGACTATCCTGGCTAACAACTCAAGGGAAGGTTTCTCCTGTCTGGCACTGTTTCTTGTTATATATTCTTCATGTATACACATGGACTCATGTAGAGATACTGTATGTGTAATTTATCAGTAGGTTTTACTTCTAATACAATTCTCTCTGTTTTTGTACACTAGGTAGGTTATATTTATCTCTCCTCTCTTCCTGTCTAACCCTCCCTCCATGCCCTCCCCATTTAAAGTATCCTCATTTTTTGCATTTCTCCCTTGATAGGGACCTGGATAGATCAGTCAGTAGAGTATCAGACTTTTAATCTAATGGTCCAGAGGCATGCTCTACTCGTTTTAAAGAAGGAGCTCAAGAGAGGTGGGACCATAGGAGATGTATCAGTAAAGGGTTATTTTCAGGAGCATGGCAACTTACCAATGGCTACACCACTGAAGAGAATGCTTCTCCCTCTGCCCCAACTATTAACTGCCTATAAACCCTGAGGACATCATCAGCCTCTCCTCCTTCCTAATGCAATGTCAAAAGGCCCAAATAATATAATTTCATAAGAGCATACATATATAACTAAAAGCTACTTGACAAACAGCAAAGCCAGACAGACGATACCTTCAGTCGAGTTGTTGGCCAGGATAGATAAAGGCTCTTCCAGACAGTAACCCAACATACTACCGGAAACATGAACAGCAGACCCCAATTCTATCCAAAGGAATATTGACAATAGATTGCCGTAGATGAGGAACAGCTGATCCTCCTGGATCAGGGACCTCTGGCTGACTAGATTTACCAGAAGGGCAGATAGGGGGGAATGGATGGGGGTGCTGACAACACAGTGGACAGTGACAGGGATGGCAGAGTATGGAG